GAAAATTTGTAGTTTTCGAAATGAAATTTCCCGGTCAAAATTAAATTATGGCGGGGGATTATCCTGGCGATGACCTTTGCATACATTTGCGACGTAGGAGACCCTTGCGTTACATTTTCTAACAGGTCAGGCGAATCTAACTTTTGGTCCAGCCACCGAGGGTCGAGGGTCTTATGTCGAGGTCGAGGTTATTTAGTCGAGGGTATTTTGGTCCTTTTTTTCTTTTTCTTTTTCGCAGCCCTTGTTCCTAGTCGAGGGTCCCTTTCTTCTTTTTCTTGGCAATAGAAAATATGAGTCATCGCATTGCGTGAGACCGGATGTTGACGTTGTTACGAAATCAAGGCAAACTAGTCCGTTAAAATAAATTGACTTGAGTTCAATGCGATCTTGAACGTCACTTCCACTGTCCGCGTCCTGGTTCTTTGGCTGACAATGTCGACCTGTCGTGCTATATGAGCTAAGAAACGAAATGGAAAATCTGTACTTTGCGTTATAAGAATCTGTAGTTTGCCAAAGGACTTTATCGCTGCGTCTACTAAACAACGCCAGGTCAGAGTGCCCGGATAATGCGTGAAAAGTTATTAAGGGGGGGGGAGGGGTGGAGAGATTTCGAAATGCGGGAATTCTTCTCGTTATCATTTCTCGTATGAATTGTTTTGGCCATAGCATGGATATGTTTCAGGGTTAATTGGCGTGCATTTTTTTTTTTTCCCATTCAATTTTCCCTTTCGCGAAAGTAACGCAAGGGTCTCCTACGTGGCAAATGTATGCAAAGGTCATCGCCAGGATAATCTCCCCCCATAATTTAATTTTGATCGGGAAATTTCATTTCGAAAACTACAAATTTTCCATTTCGCAAACTACAGATTTTCCATTTCGCAAACTACAGATTTTTCATTTCGTTTCGTTTCGTTTCGCAAACTACAGTAAGCCACTGAAGAGGCTATTAATTATAAAATTTGAAGAGGTTTATTTTTGCCATTGGTTTGTGTTACTTGAAGTGATAGCTGCAGGAAAAACATAGGGAGGTTTTTACTCTTGGACTTTACATTCAAACTGGGTTAGATTAAATTTACAGAATTCATTTCTCATGTATCAAGATTTGTTCACATAGGAAGCTAATTGTAATTATAGCATAAGAGATGTTTCATTGCTGTGATTAACATCCATAATGACTTTTCAGTTAAAAGAGAATGTTTCAATGACTTTGCTCCTCTCCCTTCAATATCATTTTACTGTTTCTGGAGCACAATTAAAGGTAGCAGTTAAACAAATAACTGTCATCCAATAATTATTTGAAAATGTGAGTAACATTTGATGCTTTCGCATGCAACAAGTTGGTCCAGCACAAGATAGCCCTAAAATTGCCGGTAACAAATTATGTGGACTAATTGGGAACTTCGGCACTTGTTAAACGTGGCATGTCTTGGCTCGTGATGATGATGATTACAGTTGGCTGAGGTAATTGAAATGTCAGTCCTTATACAGGATAATATGTGCATACCTTGACAGTCATACCCTAAGATCACTGAAAAAATGTATCTGTGCTTGGCAGAACTACTGTAAGCAAAGTGGCGCCCAATGACAAAAATTACTGACTTCGTGAAAGCATGATTATAAGTTGTATAGCGGTAATCGACCCTAAATTTGCTAAGATGCCTGGGGTTAGGTGATTGTAATGGTATCTTTCAGTTTTCAAACTTTCAACTTTGTATTGATTGTAACTGTTTACCATACTTATTTCGCTGTACCTTAGGTCCTTAAGAGAAGCCGTCAGAATATTTCGAGAATCGAAAATCAGTGACGAAAACTCGAATTTTTTTTTTATTTTACCAAAACATCCCTTTCTGTGAACTAGCTTTGAAAAAAAATATTTTAAAGTTTCAACGATGTTTTTTTCCGGCTGAAATTTAAAAAAGTTTGAAAATTCGCCAAAATAGCCGTTTTCGCCTTGCCTGAACGGTCAAATCAACACGCAACTTTAGAAAGATGTTGGTAGCGCTAAACAAGTCCATTCACCATCAAACTTTGCACAAAAATTGCAATAAAACTGCACAATAAAAGCACATAAAAAGTTTCCCGTAATACTCTTTGGTATGGGTTTTATCGCCCTTTTTATAAAGGTGTATTTTGCACGTCTTTTTGGGAGACAAAATGAAGGCTAACTTTGACCGGTTTAAACGACACCTGGTACCTAAAATTTCGACATTAAAACCATATCAGACGAGAGCTCATTTATCAAACTATACACCTGGAAAGTTTGGCCGTTGGAAATTAAGTCTCGTCTCGGTAGTT